AAAACAGGAAACTCCACATTAATCTTCCAGACCTCCCTCTGGTTTTCCCCACTGTTGGAATTATCTGTTCAGTTTCGACTGCTTTTGCACTCTGAGGTGGAAGGACTACGCTGATATCAATCTCTTCAAAGAGGTAAAAAGCCTACCAGAATATTCTGTCAACGGGCAGAAACTACATGCTGATTTAGAAAATCAAATCCTCGCCAAATCAGACTCATTTGGTTTGTTTCAGCATTCGCAGCTCTTTTCCCATCAGCCATCACAAATGAAGTAAAGGAAACTCCAAAGCCAAGAAACATAACGTTGCTACATTTGTCGGCCTTGACATCCGGAGCACTTTACAGCACAGATCCCACAACACTGTACAAGTGCAGAAAAGTCCCATTTGCACAATATCTTCTGCTCCGTGTATTTTTGTTGGAGTGTCTGAAAAAGGCACCAGGATTCATAAGTGCTGCCATTAACTGAAAAGACGGTGTTCTGCCAAGTCAAACACCGTTGTCAGACGAGGATTAGCAACCGTCAAACGATCATTTTTTACAACAAATATAGGAACACGTCCGTCTGTGCTGGATCACGAAGCTCATGAATCATTTCTGACATTTAAGTGGAACTGTAACAGTGGAAATCATTCATTCATATCAATTCATATAAAAAACATAGGTGGGTGGTTGATCAAATATGTACGTTAGTGCAAAACTGAGCAACGTAATCTGTTCTCAGTATATGTCAGAGCCCGCCCCCTCTCCTGACATCCTCGGATCAACTGCAGTTTCACTTTCCTTGACAACAGTGGGAAAAAAACACCGTCAAATACCAAGGAGGAGTCATTATAGTCACTGTTATTTTTTAACTGTTTTTGTACAGAGCACAAGTTACAGATGTGACATTGGATTTATTTGGTTACGACGTGGGTGCAGAGGATTTAGTTTAGTCTGGTTTGAAAACTCAGTTTGATGTTTGTTTACAATTTGCAAGCTTCGTACGTATGCTGTGCGTCTTCTTTTCCAGTTTTCCAGTGACAGTATGTCAGAGCGTGGTTGACACAGCACCACATACAGGCCAGGCATATGTACTACAGAGGCAGGAGTCGTATTCAGCGCTATTCTGAGTTCAAACCGGCGGCTCTGTAGTTGTACCGTATCGCACATGTAAACAGGGCCTTTCTGTTAGCATCGGCCTTAGCACCTACCGTATCGCACATGTAAACAGGGCCTATCTGTTAGCATGTAAGTGTTGGCTGTTTGCCTACCTGCTCTCCTCTTACCAGTCAACTTTGCTCAGCATTCCCAGTAGGTTTCACCACGCACCAGTTCTATCACCCCGTACTTGGCCTTTTTATTTGCCCTTTTTGTGTGTGAACACTGGTCAGTGTTTTTCTTTTTTCCTGATTTGTTTTATATAAAAGGGTTTGTACGTGCAGGAGAACAAGGCGATGGTCAAGTAAAAAAAAAAATCTAAGTGCTGGTTGTGTCCAAAATCTGGCCACCCCCGGTTGTTGCTCACTCCTGCTCTGCTCTTTTCACAGGCTCTGTAATTTTAATGCAGGGCAACAGTTGATCTCTGTGTTTCTGCTTGTCTTTCACTCTACATTACCTAAGCGGAAAAAGCATAAAATGTTGACTTCATCGTACCAGCAGCGGCCCACGGTGACTCACTCAGAGACAGTACTTGGGTCTCAGCAGCGTTTTAGCTACAAACCGAAACACTAACGATAGACAGGAGAAGTAGGAATGAAAACCACAGAGAAATGCTGCAAAATCCACATTTAAACTGTTTTTAAAAAAAGAAATATGTAGGCAGGTAGGTGGGTGGAGAGGATGGTAGCTGCAGTAGGCAGAGGAGGTGGGAAGTTATGAGGACAACAAAGAAGATTTTTTTTGGTAGTATCAAAGAAGATAAGAAGGCTAAAAATGTGGGTAGTTTAGAGGTATAAACGTGATGTATGTGATTTACAAGCCCAGGAGAAGTGCGTTTACAGAAAGCTAACAAAAAGACACAAATTCAAACAAATATCAGCGATAGAACCTCAGAACCCACAATCTCCAAAACATCTATTCTGACTTACACTCCTGCCCTGAGGGAGGCAGTGATGTACCCATTAGCTGTGTGTCAACTGTCCATAGTCAATGGATCTTGTGGTTTTGTTTCTGAACCACAGGAACACCTGAACACACCCCTCAAATTAAGCCAAGTCATATTAAGTTAATCCCATAAATCTGCAAATATGTCACTTCTGCAGTGATTCACAAACTTCTTCTACACAAGATGGTCTTACTTCTATTCTCACTGAACAGAGTAACTAACAAATCAGTGCAAGAAAATATTACATTTACTTTGCCTCTTGCATTAGCTGCTCCATGTAGGGGCCCTGTTACATTTACTTTGCCTCTTGCATTAGCTCCATGCTCCATGGAGGGGCCCTGCCCCCTACTTTAGGACCTATTGATCTTACAGTCATATTTGGCAGTTTGTCATTCAGTTTGTGTCATTAAAGTTTGGCCTTCAAACCTCTTTGTCAAAGGTAAATCCCTCGTCCAGGTCGAGGCCAGACGCAGCCAATCTCCAGCCCCCTCAGGCTCATGAACAGAAACCACACCTCCCTTCTGCTGCCGGGGCGTCGATAATTGCTCACAACTCCTCAGTGATTGTCTTGTGTAGTGAATGTGTCAACGTGAATATCCCCAGCGTGAACGTCTACTTCTTTACTGCAGCTTAAAGCCTTGTTATTCAACCAGTCCCTGCCTCCTCCTCCTCTGTTGTTCTGTTCCCCCTGTTCAAGGCCAACCACAGTCAATCACCTGCTTCCTCGGACGTGTAGACAGAACCAACACCTGCCCCCTGCAGGTGAGGCCTTCATCGATGATAGGTGTGTTTATAGTTCAGTGTATGAATGCATGCGTGTCCTCGTGACACCAGCAGGTCACGCCCATCGTTGGTGAGACCGATTGACTATTTTTAATATGGGTTGCTGCGGTGTCTGAGCTTTTGTTTTCTGATGGAACGGCGGGGTCTGGAGGGTGTAAATTGCTGTCGTGTTGCTCAGAGAGGTGGAGAACAACATACGTCAACCCTCCCACAACCGTGTGCAGTGTCCCTGCAGCGAGGATTGTCACACCACGCGGCTTCTATTTCACTCTTCATACTCATCAAAGGAGTCACAAACGTCTCCCCGGGTCATCCATGATCATCCTTCTTCCTCTTCTTCTGCACTGACCTCAGAACAGCCTCAGGGTCAGGAACACATTTCAGTCTCCAGACACAGTCCAGTGTGTGATCATTGCCTGAGAATGTGAAATTCTTGTCTTTAGTTGTCCAATTCCTAATGTATATATATTTTTATCATCACAGGCCATAAAAGCTCTTTCTATCGTTAGAATATTAAACATATTTCATCTGTAATGATAGTTTAATATAAAGAGAGGCGTTGGATGTAATGATGTGAGAAATGTCAAATGTAAAAAGATGTGGATACTTGTTCAAACTAGGGATGGCCTGATATTAGCATGTTTTACAATAACTGTAAGAATCATTGGTTTTTCCTCCAGTAATGAGGTTTGTTTAAATTCCGATATTAAGATTAAAGTTAGGATTAGATTTAGGTTCAGATTAGGAATAGAACAAGAATCAAGTGTGGGTTAGGAAATACATTATCACTATGCAAAGTGATCACATCACACAAAAACTTGCATGTTTGTGTGTGTGTGTGTGTGTGTGTTTGCTGCACATTTTCAGCCTAATTCAGACTACGCCGTTGGCCCCGGCTAATTTGCATGATGAAGAGGCCACACACACAGACATCAACATAAAAGCAGTGTGAAACGCTTGTGTGGAAAACTTAATCCTGCGCATAACTTCAACTCCAGTCCTAACACTGCCAGGATTATAGTGTATCCTAGCAGATGACATCAACAGAGTCGGTCACTGCAGGGATGGAGGGGCTGAAGTCTGTAGTTGAAAACCTGAAAAACATTGTGTTACACAGAGAGCTGAACTCAGATCCGTGGACCGGTTCGACAGCTTCACTACAAGTGAAGCAACAACAAGAACTGGAGTTGGATTGAAGCAAAAGTTTGGTCACCAAAAACAGGCATGATGAATTATTTTAGGAATTAGTACATTTTAGAAATCCATGCTGATTATTATATTTGTTCCTACTCGCCTAATGCACAGTACTAGAGCTGGGCCAGCTTTGCATGGGTATGTTGCAAGTGTGTGTGTGTGTGTTTGTGTCAGTAAATACATCTGATGTCATCTTTTCCTGGAAGCAACAGTCAATTCAACCGCAGATCAGTAAGAATTACAGCGGCAATAAAACTGCAGCAGCAACAACATGGCAATGTGGATCAAAGTGTGGAGTTTGGATATATTTTTACTTTTCCACCTCACAGAGGTGATTCAGACAAGCTGTCTCCAAAGAAACCTGACAAAACTACCACTGATTCAAAACGAAACCAAAACCCCCTCCAGTTCTCCCTTTGAAACCAAAAACCAAGGTTGAACTCAGAACAACTTTCCAAAACAGCGGCCAAAATTAACACCACGTCACGTAAATCCAGTTAAAACCCGCCCGGAGATACCGCTGTCAATCAGCAGGATGCGTCGTTACAATCGGAGGTGGTCTCGCTGAGACGTTTGACCTCAGGGCTATTTATACAACAACAGAGGAGATGACAGTACAGAGGCTGCAGGGCAAACAAGTGTGTGTGTGTGTGTAATGCCTATTGTTTGCTATCTTATGCTAGCTACACTAAGCTACCTGTTACACCCTGGTAATAAATAACAGTAAAGCTCCGACACTCAACCCTGTGTTGATTGGTCAACATGAAGCTAAATACTGTTCAGATGAATGTAAACTGGTTTCATGGAAGACTTTACTGTACACAGAAAAACAATGTATACATATATATACATATATACACACACACACACACACACACACATATATATATATATATATATATATAATCATATGTCTGTCCTTTCACTTCCCGTCTTACCTAACAGCTGCACCCCTCGTGTCAGACCGTACACATCGATGAGGGCCCACAGTGGCTCGGCGGTGCGTACTCCACTGAAGAACAGCATGGGGCTGGACTCATTTATGCGGTAAAAGACTCTGCCCTTCTTGTCCACCCAGAAGGCGATAACATTTCCCTCGTTGGCAAACTCCTCAGGCAGGGCCTTGGCCCAGAAACCACTCTGGGACACCAGGTCAGGGCAGGCGTACTTTGGCAGGTTGTCTGGGTTTATCCTGGATGGATCTTTGGAAGTGAACCCCAGACGCAGGGCCCCGCTCCAGCAGCACTGCTTTTTAGTGATCTGTGGGAAATAAAGAGGCCACTGTGGGTTTTCCTAGACTTCTTAGATGATTCCTAGAAAGTAGTGTGGAGCAGGTTTGACAGTGAGGCTGTAATTCAACCCGTGGACTAAAAAAAACTAAAGTAACACCATTGTCCCTCCGCTGAGTGTCTTACAGCTCTGCCATGCACCAGCTAAAATACAAAACCGTGTCAGAAAATGTTTTTAGTAGGAATGGGCAACATTCCTCGATGACCCATATCTGATATCTGGATAACCTTTCCAGTGCATCGATGATTCCTACAGTGGAATGGTTTTTTGTCAGAGGTGTAAGGATTCATTATTGTTAAAACCAATCTTCACTTTCACTGGTCTCTCTGACCTTAAGTCGAACCTGCTCGTACAGAGCTATGGGCCGGTTGCTGAAGGTGATGGCGTTGCAGAAGCTGGCCTGCCTCTTCACGTTCTTCTGGGCCACGTCCATGATGATCTGGGAACCCTTGGCATTTGGATGGAAGAGGAGCGGATTGATGGGAATTGAACCACTCAGGCTGCCACATTGAATGGGCAGGCACCTCTTGGGTTTGTGGTGGCATCGGTGTGAAGTGGACGGGAAGGGTCCACCAAGGGAGTCTGTGGCAGGGGGACAGAAGACAGTGTAGAGAGTATTAATCGGAGTTCTCTGGTCTAAACATTTCAACGTTTAAAGCTAACTAAAACATAACTGAAAATGATTAAAAAAAAACTACCAAATTACGGTGTTGATCAATGGTACTGACAGTCATTCCGTTTTATTACAGAACATACTTTGTTTTTCTTCTTATCCTCTCTGCCTCTCACGGGGAGTCTTTGACCCCACAATTGATGAAAAACCATGAGAACTCTCTCAGAGTTCTGATTGGTTAACACAACCATCATGTCTGAATGCTTCGCGGAAAGTAGAATTAAAATCAGACTTTTTTCTTTGACTCTTTGTTCAACCTACGAACCATAGAAGATAAAACCACTGCTCCCAATCTTGTGTTAAATCCTCCCACCTCCAACTTGACCTTGCGGCCACCAAACATTTCCCTTCAAAGTGTATTGGCTCATTTGTATTTGATTGGTTTCAATCTTTGACTCCTGTCCAAGTGTGTCTGTCTGTTTAATCCACTCCTTCATGTCTGCCTAATCCAGCAGGATTAAAAAGACGCTGGTGTGAAGGAAAATAATCCCGTGTGTTGTTTTACGTGTTGTGTGTTTGTTTCTAAGCGTCACTAACATCAGGTTGTGGGGACATTCCTTCTCTGTGTTGTTTGTTCCTGGTTTTTCTCTCTTCATTTCCTCTGGTCATCGTCAGCTTCCTGTTTGACTTTGTAGTTTTCTTCCTGCTGTTCACACATGTTTAGATTAACTTCCCATGTTTGGGGGTGGGGGGTGGGGGGGTTCTCAATTTCTTCATATTTGTATGACCTAATGTGTGTAATCAGTGAATGACGCAGTACTGTACACCCCCTTACCCCAACACACACCCACACACACAACACACGCCACCTAGCCATCCTAATCCTAACAATTCATTTTGAGTAGAAATTCAAACCTCCCTACAGGGTGAAAGTGATTTCTTTTTCAAGCCAGAAGATGGAGAAAGCCATTGAGATGAAAACCATCTCGTCTCCTAACTACATTACAGCTGCCAACATCAGGAACTCCATCTAATATTCTTGCATGAAAACGTAATCATAGAAATGATGCGTTTGTGTGCTTTTACAAAGTAGGAGATTATTTGAATCAAAGCTGCTTCATAAACGAATGGGTGAAAACAACACTGGGGCCGGAGCAGATGTCCTGCTGAGTCATGATAAGACCCTGAGAGCAGTTTAAGAAGCAGGAAACGAATCCAATTCTTTTTCTTTGTTGAACCTTCTCCTCCAGCGTTTTTATCTCATAATGTCGTCCTGTTTAATATGGCCCCCAATAAGAAGCGTGGTCCTTTGTCTTAGGCAGAGCCACAGAAGAGCAGTTGTTGTGGTTGTGTGTGTGGGTTTGTGTGTGTGTGTGTGTGTGCTCTGGGGCCTGGGCAGATTGGGCTGAATGCATTAGCGGGCTCTAAAGAGGAGCAGCTGCTGTACAGGGAAACAGTCGTTGTGTGAATACATGTCTCTTAGCAACCTCTAGTATTTTAAGGTCTTGATCAGTTCTATCTGTGACCATCATCTAGGCCACGACAGATGCCTTTTGTTTACACGGAAGCGGTCAGACCATGTTTACACCCTTTCATTACGATCACTCCTCGTGTTTCCACCTGTGTCGACTATTAATGCAGGCCAGACAGAAACGTAGCTCAAATAAATCTTGTTGGGTTTTTTTCAAATATCTTTAATAATACTCAAATTTTGTATTTATTTTTTTCCTTATGTACATATCGGGATTGTGAGGTGCAGTTATATATGCCATTGAAAGTATTTTTTTTGGGGGGGGGGTCTCAACTTTGTCATCTGGTTTATTATGGGATGGCTTCACCATTTGTCTGTACCAGGCCTGTAGTAGCTAACGTTAGCTCTGGTGTCTGTACCAGGACTGAAGTAGCTAATGTTAGTTTTGGTGTCTCTGACAGGACTGCAGTAGCTAATTGTTGCTAATTGTTGTAGCTTGCTCACTACAAGTTAACCTGTTAGAGTTAACCTGTTTAAGTTCCACAACTAAATCAAGTTCAATTTTTTTCATTTTGCAGCTCCTGTTTCCTGATGATCATCGTCAGATAAAAGGATGTGGATGAAGGATGCCAGCCTGAGGTTTGGATTCAGAGGCGAGTACAGGTAGGATGTTTGTGTTCTGTGGTCCGTAGACAAACCTGGGTGATATTTAGCAGTGGCTTCAATGAGGCTGTAGTAGCTTTTTTTTTGTGATGAAAATATACAACGGCAAAAACAATAAAACACAAAGGACTGAGATGTAAACAGATCTAAAGGTCACCAAGGTCAAGGTCGGTATAACAGTGAACAGCACATATTCTACGGAGCAGGTTTCCAGTTGAGAATTAGCTTTGTATTAGCACTGTATTTTAAGATAGGCTGTATACCAATCAGGTGATCTTGACCTTGACCAGTGATAATATATATATATATATAAACTACACAGCAGAACATTGTTCTCCTGAGCTGACTACTGACTCAGGCCCAGACCCCTGCTTTTGACTCCTTCAAACAGTTTCCTCGTTAACGTCAGTCTGACAGCTAACCCTCATGAGCGCCCGTTTGTGCACACAGCGCTGTGCATGTGTTATCTGGTAAAAGCGGTTTTAACGGCCTCACAGGAACCGTTTTGTTGAAGGTCAAGGATGTCCTATTATAAACAAACGGTGTGAAGAGCTTGTATTCCTCTGGCCCCAGAGCTCACAGGTCTTTATCCTACTAATAATAACGCAGGGACACATGCGCCTGTGTGTGTCCACATGTACATTACACACACAGACACAGACACTGATCCACCATCACAATACACAGGCCTGTGTGGCTGATACCTGTCAGACCTCACTGAGCTCCTCTGTGCAGCAGTAAACTAATCTCTCAGCATGAAAGTTGGCTGACAGTGAGCGGAGCTGCGTGTGCACGTGTTTAAAGTTGGCTGACAGTGAGCGGAGCTGCATGTGCACGTGTTTCTGAACTCTGTGTGTGTGTGTGTGTGTGTGTGTTCCTCTTGCGGACCTGTGTAACTGCCATTGACTAAGTGGTTTACTGTGTAAACAGGATTTTACAGGTGGGAGGGAAGCAGCTCAATATTTGCTCAGCTATTGGCTGGTAAATGACTTCCTGGTTCTGGGAAACAAAGCACTTTTTTTTATTACCTGAACAAATATACAGGACTGAAAATACATACACCTCAAGTATAAATCCACCCAGAAACAATTTTTTTCAAAAACCCTTGTTCGTACATAATTACTTTTGCAAACAGGAGAGTCGCCCCCTGTTGGTCAACTATGACTAGGTTTTTCTTTTCAAAACTGGAATAGTAAAATGAATATATCAGATTATTCATCAATATTATTAACATTGTTTGAACAAAACAAGGTTTAGCTAATCTCAAAGACAAACTACAGCTATTATCATCTGGCGGCCCGCAGGTCCAATCCAGCCCACCAAACCGTTCAATCAGCTCCGCGACTGGATTCCAAAATAAACATTAAATAATAATGGTAGACAAAAATGTGATTTTTATTTCATTTTATTTGAGTTTCCGTAACAATTCAGTGAGCCCCGGTCTGCAGTTTAGTGTGCTACTGACCAGCATCGCAGAAAAACAACTTATGGTCTGTGGCTTTCAGGCCCAGGTAGGCCTCGTACACACCACTTCCTCAACTTGTTGGGAAGTCTGATCTTCCAACCTCTAAAGAAGTGCAATGGAAAGCCACTCAAAGCCTGACGATCAAATAAAAATGTCTGCCCCCATGAATTTGATCACGCAAATAAATAAATAATAAATGAATGTAATAAACACTCATATAAATAAATACCTAAATAAGACGTTTGCATAAAGACCATACAATTGTTTATCCTTTCATACAGTGTGTTAGTGGAGAGGATGAAAAGACAAGCTTAGCTAATATATTTTAGATAGCTGCGTTTCCTCGTGAGTGATAATCATTTATGACTGACTTTGTCTCCCTGATGACTAGAGCTTGTGGCTAGAACTCTCCCAGTGGAATAGGTCGGAGATCCCAGTTTCTGGAATGCAGGATATGTAAAGCCGGGCTTATCACACCGGCCCAGAGGCTGGAGTGAAAGCACAGGCACGTAACAACACACAGGGTCTCCAGGCCACTGGTGACGTGCCAACTACCTCTCTGTTTTTACAGAGAAGGACAAATAAGAATTATTTTGTTTACTCAAGTTCTTTGATGTAAATTGAATTATATTTATTTTTCTAAATGTCACAGGACCACATTGTCACATTAGGACCAATGATAGACACAAGAGCCCGTGGCGGATTCTGGTCTGTGAAGCTTCTTTTAGGCCTAGTAATTTAGATAGAAACTCTGCTCTATACCATAAAATGGAAGAGTGATAAATATATAAATATATATATATATAAATATATATATATATTAATAATTAAAAACAAATAAAAATGATCATTATTAAAAAGTGAAAGAAGATAGTTCTTAATAGTTCCCCTAAGTGTGACCAGAGGTCGCCAACCTTTTTATACCATGCCATCGTTGAAGGATCATTACATTTTAAAGTAAAACATCTTTCACAACAGACTTTCTTCTGTTAGTATCAGAGTCTGAATGACCTGCTTTTTTTTTTAAACATTGTCAGATTATCTTTTAATGAAAAAGTAAAGGGATATGACTGGATTGAATGAAGTAAATTAGTAGAACTGAAGTACATTTTTTCAGTACCAAATGACCTACGGACTGGCACCGGTCCCTGGACTGGTGTTTGGGGGCCCCTGGTCTGCTGTATTTACCAAGTTAACAGCAGCCGACAGTCTGCTGTTTGTCTCCAGAACAATCTTACCGACTCATGTCTGATTGTTTGATGCCTTTTTCTGACCATCGACCAGTTCCCTGGAACTGAAAATGTCCCGTCACATGTGGCCTGTGGTTCAATTGTGTTGACAAGCACATGCAGTAAATCAGCAGTAAATGGTTACACACTTAATCCTCAAATACTTTAGTGTTTTTTAAAATAATTCCCAACCAGGAGCCGACAGTTGACAGGCTGCTGTCCACACTGTAGTTCACAGAAGATCAGGTGTCGTCTTCTCACTTCTCTTCACAGTTCTATGCATGTGCGTGTGC